TTTCGCCTTGTATTCCTCTGTTTTGCTACGGTCAGTAGGCTTGTTCTCAGACTTTTCACTTGTAGAACCGCAGTTCGTCGCATCTTTTAGTACCAAAAACCACGTTTACTTCTTTTTTCGCGAAGTTTCAGTAGAGCACCAACCATGCGGTCCAATAATTCTTTCGCGTGTCGCTAGAGTTTGTAAGGTAACAAGTAGTTTAGTACTTTATAGCAGCGGTGACTAGTGGTCATCTGACTTTGCGAAGGACTAGTTCAGATTTCTATTTCAGAGAGATGTTGGTGGTAAGAACGTTCTTCGTCAAGTGTGGACCAGTTTTGTCAAAGCACGCTTGAATTGTTCAATTCCTTCGCAGTACCCGCTATATTTTGATCAAATTCGTAAGTTATTACGCTTTCCAATTTGTTTTAAAGTGTTCTTGAAGTTTTACGAGTAGGATAAATGTGTTCTGCAGAAACAGTATATCGCGTTGACACTGATTCGGATGTGTATTTCTACTCAACTTTAACCACAGCAGACGTTATATTTGGCGGTAGTGCTGTTTGTGCCTTCACTCTTAGTTCAATTAATCAGGTTTTTTCGTATTTTCTTAACAAAAAAAAAAAAAACACTTTTGTATGCAGGAGCAGTTTCGTCTCAAATGGAATTTCTCATGTTTCATCATTCTAATTCATTTCTTCCCAATTTGAGTTACGCAGCTTACTCAATGTACATTTTTTAGATTTTTGATGAAGGTTCCTATCTTGAACAAATGTGGGTTGGTAACTTCTGGACCACTACTGCATCAGAGGCGGTACCCTCTTATCGTCCAGGCACTGTAAGCCTTTATGATTTTCTAGGATACCCCTCCTTACTCCGAGATTCTGTTTTTAGTGTGCAAAGAATTCAGCAGAAATTTCTGATGGGGATTTAAATTTTGCGAAAAATCACTTACTGATGGCTGATGCTGTCTCTGCAGGAGGTCCTTTGTTCACTGTACCGCAGGAATTGCTTACACATATTGTAGTTGACGTTTTGGATTCGTTTCATACAGTTTTTGCGTATTCTCACAGGTTTTTTTTTTTTTTGATAAGAAGGAATTCTTTTAAGTTGTTGTCGTTCCACGCTAAAAGTTCTTCTGAAGTTAGTGCCTTTCAGCGTAGGTAAAGTATATAAAATTGTTAAATGGCTGAAAAACGAACAAATAAAGCCAAAATTAGTGGCTTCTTATAAACTAGAAAACACATTGCCTGTGTTTGCTATGGTTCTTTGGCCGAGTAAATATTTCTACTTATCGAACAAGGACTCTGTGCTACAGTATGATGTCTCGCAGTGTGGTCATTACCTCGCTTGTAAGCACTGTATTGCCGACCCTTATTGTGCTTGGAATTTGGCGCGGAACTCCTGTTCGAAAAAGGATTTGGAGAAAACATTTGTTGTTGGGTAGCTTTTTGACGAGTAAATTTTTCATCTTTTGATGTTTTCTTCTAGGAATTTATCTTTTAGTTGGGTAGTCGGACCAGCTCAAGAAAAGAATGCCTGCCAAGAGGTAGTTACAAAGTCGGTTCTAAGGGTGTTTCCTGGAGATAGTGTTCATATGCCGTGTGATGTGGTCAGTGGTTTTTGGAAACATAACGACCATCCGTTGAATTCATGTGCAACGGGTCACTATACAAAAGACGGAGGGTTAATTTTGCTTTCTGTGAGTTTTGAAACAATTGAAAAAATGTTGTACTTGTTTGAAAAATGAGTGGGAAAGAGCTATTTATTTGCGATTGGTTAGTTCATTATTCCTCTGAGTTTTAGGTTTCCGTGATTGACAGTGGTACTTATGAGTGTTATTCTGGTACAGAGCGAGTTGTTGCTTATTTTGTGGAGGTTGATGATGGTTCGCCGATATATTTTTTCTGGAATTATTTCATTACTTATAAATTTGGGAAAAGCGAAGCAATTATTTTTTTAAAGCATAAAATGAATGCAAAGTTTTTATGTGGCAATGTTGGTAAAGCTGTCATTAGCTCAGTGGGTGTTCAGTTGTTTTTTAGCCAGTTGCCAGAGGCCCACAAGCTTAGCTCAGTTCCAGTCATCATATAGAGAATGGTGCAAGAAGCTGACTCTGTATAAGTCCAACGTGACGAAGTGGCAGAAATGGTACGAAAGAAACGTAAGTTGAATTAATGTTTCATCTTTTGATAGAATTTATGGTTTAATAGAAAACTGCCCACCTTGGTTTAATACAATGGATGTATTCAAAATGTGACTTTTTAAGTGTTCCAGGAATTTTATTGATTCTAGGTGAATGCTGATGTTAATTTGCAGAGTTTCTTGCATAAAATTTGAAGTAAATGGAGATTTTCCAACAGTGGTACGCTCAGCACTACGTTTCTGTTACAGACTGTAGGCGTCTTGGTAGTAATTGCTAACTTTCAGGGTCAGTGTTTGAACGAAGTACCTTTATAGGCAGAAAGTGTATTGAGTAACAACTGTCTGCACAGCTTGGATATTTCTGTTAACTTTGGGTTGAGAACTTGTCGATTTCAAAGAGCGGAGTGTGAATAAATTGCTACTTTTTTGTTGTTTTGTTTTAAAAAGATAGCCAATTTTAAATTTTTCTTGTTGATTTGTAACGCTGATTTTCCGTGTATGACATATGGGATTTCCTCCTTGACACCTTCTAATCCTTTTGTCCTCGCTGCTCATATTGTTCTTGTGTTGCAAGAAAAACGAGCTTCGATTACTGAGACAGTTTCGTAAATAGTTGTTTCGATCTCATGTGATTCGTTGCGTATTTACCGTAGAAAACATAAAATTTTTTTTAGTGCCTGCTTTACATATATATTTTGTATCACTGAAGTGTAAGGCCTCATTTATTGCTTGTTGGTTAGAGAAGCTCTGTATTTGGCGGTGAAGGAGGAGTTAATTTGGGAAGGACGGGTTGTAGTCGTGGCTTGCTTTGTTGCGACTTGGCCTATGTAGTTTTAGAAATATTTTCTAGTTTTAAGATGATGCTTAAAGACGGATTGTACGGTTCGAGGGATTCAAAGCGTTTGTTTTTGGGGGCGGTTGAATGCTGTTGCCTATGGAGTGTAAAAATGGGTGGATCGATGTTATGGCAAGAATCCGCAGGTTGTTGTAAGCAGCCATAATTCCACATTGTGACAACTGTAAAACACTGCTCAATTCCTCCCTCTGAAGTTTCTTTGTCACTTGTGGGGTTTCCGAGTTTACTTTTTTTAATGCTTCTGTTGGCACGCATGACTCTGAATTTCTTTAAGGCTGTAGTAAATACTTGGTAGGTCTTCCAGTCCCATTTCAAAACAACTTGTGCCGTTTCTCATGCCTTAAACGGTAGATGTATATAAGAAAGCTAAGAGAAAATGCAGTAACAGAAGTTGCGGAAAGTTCTCAGTTTTTTCACAAAAAGGATAACTAGCTTGATGTGTCCTCACCATGTGAGATGAGTATTTGTACGTGTGAGACGATGCAACTGGTCACTGTTTAACGGAAAGTTGTCATGCTTCGCCCTCTGATTGATCGATCTTAGGGTGGCAGATCACTGCTTGTAGATTTGAAAAAAGACAGTTTCCATTATGTAGAGATGAGTTCTTTTCCGGGTTCTTGTCTGCTTGTTGCAGTCTTCGCTGCTTTGAGCAAATCTGCAATATTTCCTTCGCAACTTTCCCATACGTGTACAAATTACCCTTTTTTGCAGGTCTTTTTCTGAAGAAAAAAATGATGTGCTGTGATGACTTCAAGAATGCAGAGATTATAAAAAAGCAGAGGGCGATCGATGTGACTAGCTGCGCTCGGTCTTGATGAACCGTTTTGACCAGTTTCGCTGCATAGGAGTGATGATAGAATGATTTCAAGAATTCATTAACCTTAATAACTGCTGAAAAAATAAGATCGTAGCGCACGACTAGACGAGTTAAAACGGCACCGTGAGGATCATTAAACGGTTATGGTTACTTTTCCACCTGGCAAAGGATTGCAGTTTCATCCACAAAGCAAAGTCTTCGCTTCGGATTTGTAAAATTTTGTGCCTGGATTAGCAGTTAAAGAAATTTTCCAGGTGGATCTTTCCTAATTTAAAATACCTGAACTAGAGTTCCGAAGTGGTTTTTCTTGTGCTTGGAGAGGATAATGGAAAAAAGTGTAGTCCAAAGCCACTTCACTGCATTTATCTTTCGACAGCTTATCAACATTTCAGTGCGGGGTTTACATCTCTGGCAAACATCATTTGAATACGTCCGAAGGTTTCTTGTAGATCTCAGCATTCATAGGGTTTATTAGAAAATTGAACTTTTCTGCCTTAACAGTTTTGATGTTGTTCCTAACAGCGGCGTCCGAATGGGGAATGTTTATTTAGCTATCTTGTAGTCTTAGATTCCAGCCAATTAATATCTTCTGCTCTACCAGATTGCATAAATAGTACATCGTTGGTTTTCGATTTTCATTTCAAAGCTATCTCGTCAAGTCCTTTGCATACCATATTACGATTGCATAGCCGACGAGTTCTCCGAGTTGCCGGAGTTTAGGGGCGTTCTTCTGATTGCGTTTTGGAAAAGTTTAAAAAGTAAAAGAGGTTGATTAAAGGATACTTCCTATGTTTCCACTGCAATATATATACACAATAAAAATCAAATGTAATAAGTGGTACAAAAGGTGAATTCAAGCAAGATACGGAGTGTTATACATGCGGTACTCAACGACTAAATTAGTTGGCGAGTTTAGGGAAGTTTTTGAAGGCTGCTTTTACAAACTTCAAGGTTTACAAAGTCAGAACCACGCCAAATGACACTCTTTTTCAGTCTGCCTCTTAAATTTTTTTTGTTATTTGTTTATTTGTAGCACTTGATACCCGACTGCGAAACCGAAAAAGTTCACCTCAAAAAAAGCGCTAGCGGCAAAGGTATGCAATTTTAAAATGTGGAAAGTAATATCTGCTTGTATACCGACAAGTCTTGTACAGAAGTGAAACTAAAACAAAATTTATAAAGCTTCTTCCAAAAAAAAAAAGTTAAAATTGCAAGGTGGTATCTTCGTGCTATCACAAGTTACGGCGCGATTAGTGACAGTAGAGTGTGAGATCTGCTACTGACGCAGCATTTTGGTGCTTCTGTGAGTGACAGGGCTCCTGTCTCAACTGAAGTTTTAATAAATATTGCAATATATACAATATATGATAACATGCTTCAGTTCCACTGCTTCAATAATAAGTAATTGGTCAAAAACGTTCCTTTGATACTGTTTTAGAAGCAAACAACTTTTTAAACAAAGATTGTCGTAATGATCAATCTTCCGACTTGTAGTGACTTACTTCCTTACTGGGCTCTTTTGACCCAAATATTTCACACTCAATACTGTTTACTAACTGCGAATACTTTTTTGCTACTATTTTCCCCAGCACTTAGAAGCATAGTGCGGCAGAGTTTTTTTGTTCCCTTGATTGGTGAGCTTACGGAGAACGCGATGCTAAAATTGTTTTTTGTTTTCTATATTTCAGTAAAAGTACTAAAACTACTAATATTTTATCCCAGTGCTTTGGAGCCTACTACTTGTAAAACTCACTGGGTATTAAGGTATAGGGTGAAAGTGTTTCTTCTTGAGTTACGTGACTTAGTTCCGAAATAAACGTACTTTTATGGTTCTTTATCTTTTTTGTATTTCATGGGGTTTTTCGTTTACATAGGACGTTCGTTCTGGAACTACCCTAATCACAGAAAACTGCAGGAATGAACCGCTAAACCGTTTTAGTTTATGCACTGATTCGGTGTTGAAATTTATCGACGCGTTAATTTCCAATTTGGTGTGAAAATATTTTTGGAGGCGGGTCCAGGGTTATGGTAACATGGCCAGCTGACAACCTTGGCAACTGTTGATCTAGATTCATATTTTGGGCGTTTTGCCAGCTTTGCTGTGAGAGATTTGTGGTGACATTCTGTTCGTCAAAATTCTGGCAACAAGTTGCTTGCTAAATTTGGGTGAAATTTGGTGCTTTCTTTCCGCTGCATTCTTTTCCTGTAGGAACGTGCAGGAGCTTCTCAAAATGTTTGCATTACACGCTACAATATCACAAACTCCTTCCTACATGCTCCTACGAGAATAGCACCCACCGTAAAAAAAGACGCGTAACTCAAGGTATTGGCATACTACTTCTTAATGAGATTAACATAAAACAAACAGCACGTCCTCAGCGTTTTGTTAACTGTTTTGTTAACTGTATTTCAGAATAAGATTTGTTGACGACGGAATTTTTTTGTTACATATAGGTTCCATGGAGTATGTTTTTAACATAAGTAAATATATTTCACTGCGGTGACTGTGCTAGTTCTTTTGAAAAGTTATTGTTTGTGAATGCAGACGGGTTGCTTCTTCGCGTGATTAACTAATTTCTTCACTTAGTATTTGATAAAGATCAAGTACTTGTAAAAGAGTTTGCTACTGTTGAGCTTCTCGCAGCTACGGCTATGTGATGCTTGCTGAATCT